GCCCCCTTGGTCCCCAACAAGCTGCCCCTCCAGAAGTCCTACCCCCCCACGATGCCTCCAAAAGAGCCCCCTCTTCAAGACAGTCCCCCGCTAAACCAGGCCCTGCCCCAACAAATAGTTACTGCCTCCCCCCACAGCTGTCCCCCAAAACGGGCCTCTTCCCCACACCACCCTCAACAATTACATCTCCGTAAATGGAGGGGGGGGCAGGGTTGGTCAGAACCCCCTCCCACAAACCCAGGGAAGGAGGAGGGCGGGGGCTGGGAGCCTGGGTTCTCTCCCAGCTCATGGAGGGGAGTAGGGGCTTGGGGGAGCTCAGATGCCTGGGTCCTTTCCTTCCCTGTGTGCTCCCCCACATACCCCGTGCCACCTGCCACAAGGCAAGGGAGACCCCAGACTGAGCCCCAGAGGAGGGACAGGCCCCACCCCCGCAGCGGTACCTGGGCGTGGAAGACTGACAGTGCCTTGACGGAGTGCAGGGGAATCAGGACCCGAACCAGGAACTGCTTGTGCTCGGCCTTCAGGGGCAGTGCGAAGCCATTGATGATGCTGCCAGGATGGATGGATGGGCAAACAGACAGGGTCACCCGCCAGGAGGGACGGGGGCACCAGGCAAGGGCGTGGTGTCCATCTGCCGGGGCTGGCAAAACCTGTGCCCTGCCCCCTTCTTGTGCAAGCCCCGCCCCTTTACCAAGCTCTTCTGGTGCAAGCGCCACCCCGCATAAGCCCCACCCCCTTGTCCAGCTTTTATGGTGCGCCACCCCTCCCAGGCTGCCCCTAAAATAAGGAGTTGCTATAGGGAAATCCCTCCTTCCAGGGCGGGACTTCCTGCCTGGACATGCTAGGCAGAGGGCTTTTCACACCACAGGAAGTCCCACCTCCCTCCACTAGGGGCAGGATTTCCTTCCCAATCATCCCCCGGGAAGGTCTCACCACAGGAAGTCTCACCCCTTTAGGCAACCGACTTCCTTCCTTGCCCACTCCTGGAGGAGGAGAGGGACCTCCCCCCACAGGATGTCCCACCCCCAAGAGACACAACTTCCTGCCAGGCTAGAGAGAGATGACCAGGGATCCTGGTTCTCTCCAATTAACAAAATTAACCACCCAATTTTCAGTTAAAAAAAGTAACCCCAACTCCATATTTTTCCATGATTAGAATGAAACACCACTACACACACATCTATGTATTAGTGTTTTACTTTAATCATGAAAAAGTGCGGAATTGAGGTTACTTTTTATTTAGTTAGTTATTTTTAAACGAAAAAATTGGGGATTTTTTTTTTAGATCAGAGAAAACCAAGATCCCTGAAGTTGACACTGTACCACAGTGCCCCACCTCCTTATTTGGCCCTGCCACTCCTCTCAAGCCCTGCCCCTGTCCAGGCCCCACCCACTTCTGTGCCCAAGCCCCACCCCCAGGTGCCTCCATTACCTGCCCAGGATCTCCAGCAGCTCGGCCACGCCGTTAAAGTGCTCTGTCTCATAGATAAACCTGGAGGGGGCAGGACAGGGTGGAAACACTTGCTCCTGCCCCAGCCCCCACCCTCACCCAGGCTGACAGGGGCAATTATGTACTGTAGATGCCCCCCCAGCCCTGTACGGCGTAGAGGAAGATGAACCCAGCGGTAGTAAAGCTGTTACCCATTCCCCAGGAAGACCCTCCCCACTAGAGGAAGGACTTCCTGCCAGGCCAGGAAGTTCTGCCTCCCCAGAGAAGGAGCCCTCTTCACAGGAAGTCCCACCCCTTTCATGGGGGGGGGGAAGACCTGCCTGGCAAGGGCAACTCATCTTGACAGGAAGCCCCACCCATTCAAGTATGGAACTTCCTGTCAGTATTGGCTTGAATGCCTCACCACAGGAAGTCCCACCTCTCCAGGAGAGGGAGATCTTAGTCAAAGGAAGTCCCACCCCTCTCCACCCCAACCCAAAAGGAAACTTCCTACTAAAGAGGGATGGCTGGACTAGGAAGCATCAGCACAGGAAATCCCACACCCACCTCCAAGGACAGCACTTCCTGCCTAGATTGGCATGACAGGAAGTCCTGCTCCCACAAGGGGCGGGACTTCCTGCCCAGCCTTTCGAGATTCTCAGTACAGGAAGTCCAGCTCCCTGGAGGCCAGACTTCCTGTCCAATCATCCCAGTGCAAGGGGAGTGGGAAATGACAACTCCCCAGTGGTGGGACTTTGTGTAAAGCGGTCCCCTGGGCTGGGCAGGAAGTCACACCTCCCTAGAGGCGTGACTTCCTGCCCAACCCCCCCAAGGGGAGCGTCTCCATACAGGAAGTCCCACCTCCCCAGGGGTGGGACGTCCTGCCAATCATTCCAGGCAAGGTTGGGGGAGGATGATCTCATCACTGGAAGTCACACTTCCTCTGGGGCAGGACTTCCTGCCCAGCCTTCCAACCCGGGCCCAGTCTCCACCCAGGACCTCCTCACTCCCTGGAGGGGCGGGACTCACCGCAGGAAGATGTTGTTGCACTGCTTACGGATGTAGGCGCGCAGCCCCAGGAACTTGCCGTAGACACGGTGCAGGATGGTCTTGAGATACTCCCGCTCCCGCGGGTCCTCGCTGTCGAACAGCTCCAGCAGCTGGGGGGGTGGTCACCATAGCAACCAGCCCCAGTCAAGAGAACCCAGGGTCTGGGCCGTCAGCCCTGCCCCCCACCCCCGCCACCGAGCGGCAGAGAACGGAGGCATCCGGGCATCACTCACCATAAGCACAAACTTCTGGTCCACGTAGCGCTTGGCCACCGAGGGCTGGAAGTCGGGGCTCTCCAGGAAGCGCAGGAAGAACTCGTACACTAGCTGGTGGCAGGCAGAGCTGTTACTGCCCCCTCCCAGCCCGGGGGAAAGATAGCCAGCCCGCCCCCCACCACCCGCAATGTGGGGGCTTGGCCCTTTAAGAGGGCACAGACAGCCCCAAGCACAGGGCGGAGCCAGAGCATGCCTCACCTCCACCTGGAATCACTGGGCAGGCAGCCACACCCCTGATCTGACCCAGAGGGTGGAGCCAGAGATGACTCCTCCCAGCTCCAATTAGAGGGCAGAGCCTCCCTCAGCTAGGCCCAGGGGGTAGAGCCCAGAGCTGGCCCCACCCCCAAGCTGGGTCCAGTGGGCAGAGCCCAAAGATGACTCCTCCCAGCCCCAGTCAGTGGGTGGAGCCAAAGCCCTTCGCAGCCCCTGCAGCCAATCAGAAGGGAGCGATACCAGGGGGGCCGGGTCTCACCTGGAGGTGGGGCCAGGATGGCTCCAGGTTGGGTTCATCCTCCTCGGGGTCGAACTCGGGGTTCTCGCTGGGCGGGAGTGTCCGGAAGATGTTCACTGAGATCTGGGGGGGGCGGGCGGTGAACCCAGGCGTCCAGGCTCCCACCCCTTGCTCGCAGCCTCAGCCCCTCCTCCCCCCAAATCGGGGAGAACCCAGGCCTGCGGGCTCCCAGCCCCTCCCCCCAGGGAGCCCCGGGGCTCACCATGCGCACGGCCTCGGGGTAGGTGGGCTCGATGAGGAGGCCACGGGCCGTGGCCACACACTCGACCAGCTCGGCCAGCGCCGCCCGCTTCACCTCCTTGCCCTTCAGGTCGGCCACGGGGTCCAGGAAGTCGAAGAGGACGCAGCACTGCTGCAGCTTGCGGCCCAGCAGCTCGTGCAGCTCCGACACCGCCACGTCTGGGGGGGGCACGGGGAGTGAGGGGCAACCCCGGGGCTGAGGGCTGGGAGCCAGGGGCACTAGCCATGTGCCTGCAGTGGCACTGTCCTCAGGGAGGGGAGCAGGTGCCAAGATCCCCCCTGGGGGGGCCTGTTGTCAGGGCTGAGACTCCTTGTAGCAACCAGGACTTGGGGTGGGGGGGGAAGCTGCCCCCTTCCCCCAGCTACAGACAGGAAAAGCCCCAGGGATCCCCCTCCCCAGCTTCTGGCACCAGGGAGCAGGAGCCCAGGTTGCAACCTCACACCCCCCAGGGGGCTTATGGAAGCAGAAACCAAGATGACCACTGAGGCCCATGGAACACGTGTGTGAGTCATGGAAGGACTGTGCTGGCAAGGGAATGCCTGCCCAGGGGCTCATGCGAGTTGAGCCAAGGTGCCACTCTGTTGGATTCCCCTGCTCACTCAAGCAGTAGAAGGGGGGGTGGGGGCTGGGAGCCTGGATGCCTGGGTCTTTTCTCTCTCAGACCCCAGGGCAAGACTCCTGGTCCCAATGACAAGGCTCCTTGACGGGAGTCTCCCCCTGCTCCTCAGGGGCTCCCAGGCCTGGCCCAGCCTCCGTGGTCCCTGGAACAGGACGGGGCTGCGACCTGGCCAACTCAGCCCATGCCCCATAAGCCTTGAGTCACTGAGGCCCAGGGACCTCCCACGAACAAACATGGCTGTGATAAAAGACCCTACAGTAAACAGAACTTGGAGAAGAGAGGAAACTGAGGCAGGGAGCCTTCAACAGCCATGGAGGCTGGAGCAGAAGGGCAGAGAAGGGAAGCCAGGCATCCAGGCTCCCAGCACCCTGTGCTCTAACCCCCCAGCGCTGGGAAGGAACCCCTCCCCGCCCACCATCCAACCCCAGGAGGGAACCCAGGGGTCCGGCACTCACCCTTGAGCAGGGGCAGGGGTGTGAGCTCCTGCTGGGAGCTCTGGTAGCGGAACTGGGAGGAACTGTGGGAGCGCCGGGGCCGGGTCCGGCGCAGCGATCGGCGCGAGAACCCATCCACTTTCTCCGGGGGTGGCACTGGCGACAGCCCTGGCGACGGGGGGCTCGGGGGGGTCCCTGCTGGGGTCAGCTTCATCTCCATGGCTGAGATCCGTGGCGAACAAAGAGGATGCTGGGAAATCAGGAGGCTTCCAGCCCGTCCATGGTCAAGGTGTCACGTTCCACCCCAGAATCAGCTGCCTCTGGGTCCTTTAAGAAGCTGGTTTCCACTCCAGAATCAGCTACCTCTGATTTCCTCAAGGCTTTAGTTCCACCCCAGAATCAAGCTGCTTCTGGGTCCTTTAAGGGCTCAGTTCCACCCCAGCACCAGCTGCCAGCCCGCAGTCACCCCCTTGGTCCAAGTCTCCAATGAGGAAGCGCTAGCCCGGATGCCTGGGTCCTCTGCACATTGCCCCCTCCCCCTGATCCTCAGCCCTGCACAGCTCTGGGCAGGGTCCCAGCTACCCCCTGCACACAGAGGCCCAGGGAAGGAGTATGGGGGGGGGGGGGGGGCTGAGCGCTGCGCCG